AGTATAACCTTCTGAGTAAGCAAATTTGATCTTCCCATACACCTCTTTTGGTAATCGAATATTACGCATCATTAAATTTTGCTTGGTCCTGATTTGAAGAGGACCAGCCCATTCAGTCAACTCATCAATCGTCATGTATTGTGGTAATGCGAGCAAACGAATAGGTTTTGTTGATCCATGACGTTGTCGAATCTCTGCTGCCGCTTGAGACAACAGTTTCTTCTCAAGATTGACATTTGGCGCTCGCCACTCCAACACACATATATCATTTTCACTGTCGGGTTTGCCAATCACTGCATAACCTTGTTCTTTCTCATGTTCATACAGACAGACAATAGCGGCATTGTTTTGCCATCTCATTTTCACCCAATGTTGGAACAGCGTGGATGGAGATCGATCAATCTGATAGATACGTGGATTATTAGAATGAATCTTGAGCAAGAGCTCAATATCTTCAGACGAAACATTAGATGCTGAACGCCATTCAGCATCTGTACTGGACGAAGTGATATTTTTCCAGTCGATAATGATTTGCGAGGGATAAGGTACTGGTTCCCATCCTAGAACCGTGTAATGACTATGTTTCTCCGTAGTCAACATTGAAATATCGAATTCATTGCTTTTCTCCATTCTATCAATAGCCATTTGTAAGAGATGTCGAGATAGACCGTGTCTTCGATATTCGCCTACGGTAGCCACATTACCCAAACCACCACATAAATATTTCTCATTGTTCTCGTTTGATCGTAATGTCAAACGTCGAATATGTACTATGCTCACTAATTTATCATTGTGCCATGCACCTAATGTATCACCTTCTTGATAATACGGTGATGCATCCAATGAAAAGTAACGTTTTTCCACATCATGATTAGTTTTAAAAATCGGATACACCAAATCTATTACCTGTTGCTGCTCATGCTTTTCTACATAACGATAGACAATCGACGAAATATCAAAATTTAATACGGAATCCATCGTATTAGTCGTGCACTATTTAATTGTCAAAGTTCGCACCTATCGAAAACGTAGAGAAATCGAATGATATATAGAGCGCTAAACTCTAATTCGATCATGATTTTTTAAAATCTTTTCAGAAAAAAAGCATGCAACTTCTCTCCAGAACGTCTGCTCGAGCTAATTTTTAGTTTCTGAAATAAAGTAAACATTTCTCTATCATCTCATATAAATTTTATTGAAAAATAATAAATTCTCAATGAGCAGTAGTGGTTACAAAGACACTTATTGATGATTTTTGTTCATTTTCCTTCCATTCTTATCTGATCGATTCAGCTATTTTTGTTTCCTAATTCGATCATCTAATGCATGATGAATGGAGTTTTGATAATTGATCGAAAAAAAAAGATGTTGGCGTTATCTAAAGTATGGAATCCATCGTTGATACTGATACAAAAATATAGCTCACATCAAGAACTATCTGTCTATATCATGACAACGATTTTGAACTTTTTCATCATATTCTTTTTC